AATAAGGTTAAAACCTGCATATGTCACGGCGGCGTGTGTAATAATAAGGTTTGAACGTGCATATATCACGACGGCATGTGTAATAATAAGGTTGGAACCTATATATGTCACGGCGGCGTGTGTAATTATAAGGTCTGGACGTGCATATATCACGGCGGCGTGTGTAATAATAAGGTTTGGACATGCATATATCACGACGGCGTGTGTAATAATAAGGTTTGAACGTGCATATATCACGACGGCATGTGTAATAATAAGGTTTGGACATGCATATATCACGGCAGCGTGTGTAATAATAAGGTCTGGACGTGCATATATCACGGCGGCGTGTGTAATAATAAGGTTTGGACATGCATATATCACGATGGCGTGTGTAATAATAAGGTTTGAACGTGCATATGTCACGGTGGCGTGTGTAATAATATGGTCTGAACGTGCATGTATCACGGCGGCCTGTGTAATAATAAGGCTTGGACGTACATATATCACCGCGGCCTGTGTAATAATAAGGTTTGGACGTACATATATCCCGGCGGCCCCCCGACCCGCCTAGTGTGTCAGTAGTTACAAATTAAATAGCTAGGATAGGGTTAGGGTTTAAAAAATTCATTAAAAAATGGGAATGAATAAAAACATTTTTTTTCTTTTGACTGCACCCCTCCATTGACAGAGATTATATGTACTAAGTTTGAGATGAATCTCCTGAATAGTTTAAGAGAAATCGCGCTGACAAAGTTTGCGGACGGACGGAACCTTGGTATAACTTTATACCCCCGACATTTTTTCGGGGGTATGATAAGGTTTGGACGTTCATATATCACGGCATCATGTGCAATATTAAGGTTTGGGCGTGCATTTATCACGGCGGCGTGTGTAATAATCACGGCGGCCTGTGTAATAATCGGGATTGAACGTACATATATCACGGCGGAATGTGTAAATAATAAGGTTTGAACGTGCATATTTCACAGCGGCATGTGTAATAGTCGAGTTTGGACGTGCATATATCACGGCGGAATGTGTAAATAATAAGGTTTTGACGTTCATATATCACGGCGGAATGTGTAATAATAAGGTTTGGATATACATATGTCACGGCGGTCTGTGTAATAATAAGGTTTGGACGTGCATATATCACGGCGGCATGTGTATTAATTAGGTTTGAACGTGCATATATCACCGCGGCCTGTGTAATAATAAAGTTTGGAAATGCATATATCACGGCGGCCTGTGTAAATACTCGGGTTTGGGCCACGTAAACTACTGCCTGAAAGCATGAGCAACGATCCACTGCACCGAGGCAGCACATGGATCCATGACCAAAGACATTTATTTGCGACATTAGGCCCTAGTCCGGAGCCCGAGTTCAGTACAACAGCTGTTGGACTGGTGGAGCATCTTTTGTGGCAGGCCGATCTGTCTGGTAATGCTTTTCTCACGTCAGCTAAAGCATTGGGCCTGGCCACCCAATCCAATATAGTTCTCTAACCTAGTCTTACCATGAGGCCGACGAAGGTTGGGGAGAAGACTGAGACCTGGCTTGAGTGAGTATTGTTTTACACCGCTTAAAGCAATATTCCGGCAATATCGCGGCGGGGGACACCATAAAAAAGGGCTTCACACATTTTACCCATGTGGTGAATCGAACTCGGGTCTTCGGCGTGACGAGCGAGCACTTTAACCACTAAGCTAACCTACTGTCCGGAGAACGAGTGTCAGTTGTATGCCCAGTCGCTGATTACGGATGTGCCTACCATATGTTCTGTACGTGTCAAGACTTCACGCATGGGGGCACGGGTGGCCAAGTCGTCTAAGGCGCCGCGATTGCAGAGTTGCGTCCCTTGGGCACGCCAAAAACCTATGATTGCGGGTTCGAATCCCGGTTCGCCCCGATTTATTTCTATGTTTGTCAGCACCATACCCGTCCACGTGGGTTTCCTCGAAGTGGTAAACGTCTGAGACCTGCATCACTTCGGGTTTTCCTCCCACATTAAGCTGACACGCCGCGATAAAACTGGAATACTGTTAAAAGCGGCGTTAAACCCAACTCACTCACTCACTCCCTTCACGCAACATCTTACAGGAGGGAAACAGAAGGAGTTGCTACAGATTGTACGGCGCTTCACGCGTCATAGTCTCGAGAAATAAATGGGACAGTGTTGTTCCGTGTGATGCAGCAATGTGGCATGCATCCTCCAGTTTTTCAATGAAATCGGTAAGCTAGGCAGTGAAGTGAAAATGCTGTCAGCAATACTCCAGCTAGGCTACACGGACACCCTGATCCAGATTTAGAGATAGGGGGTGGAGGAGCAGAGGTGAGAACCTCCGTTTCTGAAGCAAACATTTATTAAACGGCAGCCTCCCTAACTTTCGAACATCTGCAGCTAGCTGTTGTCATCGGTTTACTCATGTGGCAGGCCCTTTGTGTATATGCATAGACTAGCGTTGTCAACTCTCAACTACATAGCTACAATTTTCACAGCAATGTTTCAAAATGCCTTCCGATAATTGAGAAAGACATTTTCCCATAAATATTACCTTCCACATTGAAGCGGCCTTCAAAGCTACTGTTTCAATAAGCTGCAAAATCGTAGCTATATAGAAGGGAGGTAAATTGTACAAACTATTTGTAGACTTTAGTAAGGCATTCGCCTCTACAGCAGGATAAAATGTGGTTTATACTTAAGAATCGTGGCCTCAGTTTTAAAATGTCAAAATTATTGTTATGTATCTATAAAGACGTAAAAGCTTTGGTACGATGCAACGGTAATTTCAGTAATAAATGTAAATGCAATAAAGGAGTAAGACAAGGATGTATATTAACCCCTTTTCTGTTTTTATAAACGAATTAGCCATGGAAACAGGAGATAATTGTCAAGTCCGTTTACTGCTATTTGCTGATGATATTATAATGATTTACACCGAATTAATGTATTACAACAGTTTTGTGAAAAGTCATTTTCAAAGGTTAAAAAACGGTAAAAACTAAGGTAATTGTTTAAAAAAACACAGGGATATATTATCAAAACGGGAAAAATGGTTTTATGAAGGCCAAGTATTAGATGTTACTAAATACAAATATCAAGGCGTCTATTTCTCCAGTTAACTGTCATGGAATTTCCATTCAACGCAACCTGCCACCCGGGCAAATATCTTCTTTGCCATTCTGAAAACGCTCAAAAACATTTGTGGTGTAAACTTTAACGTATTTTTTAAGTTCTTCGATACAAAAATGAATCCTATTTTGTTGTATGCGGCTGAGATATGGGGTATGACGAAGTCAGAATATATTGAAAGCGTACAGGCCTATGCATGTAAATGATTTTTGGGAGTTAAGATTAATACACCAAATACAGTTGTATATGGTGAATGTGGTAGATTTCCATTATTCATTAAGCTCAGGTTAAAGTTATAAATTATTGGGTAAAATTATTACATATGCCTTCTTATAGATATCCCGAAAATGTTATGAAACGATATTATTGACTGATAGTTCTGAAAGCGTAAACTGGGTCTCATCTGTTAAGAAAACTATTAAGGAACCTGGTTTTGGCTACGTGTGGCAAAGACAGAAGGTAGAATAACATTTTATATACAGAAATTGAACTCGGCACTATTATTGTCACAAAAAAGTAAACATTATGTTTTGTTTTGTCTGATTGTTTAACGCCGCATTCAGTTATATTCCAGCTATATGACGGCGGTCTGTAAATAATCGAGTCTGGACCAGAAAATCCAGTGATTGATATCAAGAGCATCGATCCAATCAATTCAGATACGATGACATGAATCAACCAAGTCAGCCAGCCTGACCACCCGATCCCGTTAGTCGCCTCTAACGATCGACAAGCATAGTCGCCTTTTCCGGCAAGTATGGGTTGCTAAACATTATGTAATGTCATGTAATGTAACTCAGTTAAAGACTGATCAATATCTTTTGAAACATCTTTTGCACAAATTTAGAATATCTTTCTCTCGAATAAGATGCTCACGGCATACTCTCAACATTAAACAGGGGTGATACACATACATATCAAAAGCACATGCACTCTGTAACTTGTGCAGGGATGAGTGAGTGAGTGAGTGAGTTGGGTTTAACGCCGCTTTTAACAGTATTCCAGCTATATCACGGCATGTCAGCTTAATGTGGGAGGAAAGCCCGAAGTGATGCAGGTCTCAGACGTTTACCACTTCGATGAACCCACGAGCACGGATATGGTGCATACATAGAAACATAATCGGGGCGAACCGGGATTCGAACCCACAATCATAGGTTTATGGCATGCCCAAGGGACGCAACTCCGCACAGCGAATCGCGGCGCCTTAGACGACCTTTCTTCAGACACCCATTCGTCACCACTCGCCCCTTTCCGTAACCTGCAAGTAGACTTGTCCCCCTATCGATTAATGCCTTAGACGACTGGGAAACCGGTGCCACCACTTGTGCAGGAAGTAGAAGATAAGTTCAATCTTCTCTTTGTATGTTCAGTATATGATTATTTGCGTAATGAATATTTATCGCCATAGATGTACCAGCCAACAAACATTTTTTAAGTTTATTGTACTGTCTTCCGAAAATATCAACGTGTTAAAGCATGTTAGCAATGTGACATCATATGTATTTCATGCAATTAATTATAGAAAATGTATGTTAAAAGATACAAACTAATAATATTAAATAAAGACATAAATCAATAAAAAAGTTCCCTCCCATGAAAACATGTTGATTTGGTTGTGATTGTATATAACTGTTTAGTAACATGTGTGTGATTCTTTTGGGCAGATACTCCCTCCTCCCACCACCCCCACTGAAGTACAAATGGTCCAAGTGGACCCGGGTAGATCATGCTATTGGACATCAATCACTGAATAGTCTGGTCCAGTCTCCATTATTTACAGACCATATAGTTGTAATATTGCTGAGTGCAGCATTAATCAACCAACAAAAAAACAACACAAATAACTCCTAAATATCCTGAAAATAATATATAAGACAGAAGTGTGTTTTCAACAAATTTAATAAGGCAAGAAATGATAGATAAGAGTACAAAAAAGCATTTGTACAGCTACTACTGACTCTTGATAAGAACATAACAAGGTGACAAGCCATACATATTTTATATGAATTCACATAATACAAGTATATACAGACTGAACATTGTTAAATAAAACAATCTACATACCTGTCCTTGCAAGGACAGACCGTCTTTCTGTCAAGGACCATGTATCAAATACCAGAAACAAACACCAACAATAACTTCCAGGTACAAGTGTTAATGCTTTTTCATCTATTATTATCTTACAGGAGTGAGCTGTGTGTTAACACTACTTTCAACAGTATTCCAGTTCTATCACAGGGTGTCAGCTTAATGTGGGAGGAAAGTCTGCAGTGATGCAGGTCTCAGACGTTTACAACTTTGGTAAAACCCACGTGGACGGGTATGGTGCTGACAAACCTGGAAACATAATCTGTTCGAACCAGGATTCAAACCCACATATAGCGTGCCCAAGGGACAATTCTCTGCACATTGAATTGCGATGTCTTAGACAACTCGGCCACTTGTGCTTCCCATTATCTTACAGGCGATGATTTGATGAAGCAGTGTTTAATTCAAAGAAAATATGAATGCCCAAGTTCTGTAAAATGGTAAACAGATTGTTATCATGGTTACTTACCAATACTAAACTAAAATGAACTACTAATATTAACTGTGTCTAATTTTGGGAAAGACTCATTTAAATTTAAAAATCCAACAGCCCATGATTCAGAAACAATGTCAGAAAGTTTTGGTTTGGGGTATTTGAAACATGGCCACATCGTTATGTACAACCTAATTAATCCCTCCCGCAGGTTTACACAATCCCGAGTCAATATATATAAATATACATCCCGTGCAAAGCTTGTCAAGAAAATTCAACCAAAATACTTTTCTGGTGATACAAAAAAAAAAAAAACACACCCCAAAAACGAATTTGTCATTCAACTATCAGGGTATATGTTACAGAAACCGATGGCAACAGTTGATATGCATATGAGAAGGATACAGAAATGATGAGTGTTATAATGTAAGAGGTGAAAAGATCAACATCACAGTTCCTCGGAATCTCTGCAATTACCATGGTTACACAGGCATGCCCTTCGTAAGGTCCACACACCAGCTAAACAGCAATGTACATCATGTATATAACATGTCCATCATCATCATCATCATCATCATCATCATCATGAAGACACATGCCTCCAGTAGTGAGACTTATTAATCATGCTTGCTTAACAAATGTCCTCCAATGCTACTTTGAAGCCTCCTGTCTGGTACGTGGTTTGTGACGATTCTCATTTCATTGTAATACTGTTGCTTTTGGAAATCGACACTTCAATTTAATTTCAGATAATGATTCCCACCTCTCCTTTCAGTCCTTATAGAAATCACATGTCTTATGTTGAATTCCATTTGATTTTACAAGTAATCATGGAATTAAAGATGAGCATCTGCAAGCATGACTTTCTCACCATTGTCACCAATCGTTGTCGTTTGTGGTTGAGATCACTTTATCCATATCCTTTCTACAGAGAAATCACACATGCAAGTCTTATTTGCAAAAGCAAAGATCCAGAGTGGTTTCTAGAACAAATGTTCTTCTTGCTGGTTTTCCTACACTTCGTGAAGACAACCACAATCATCTTCCACTGTCTTCCATTAAGAGTCAACCATAGACATGCTGCCTTGTAGATTAGCTACCATTGCAAAGGTGGGTTAATCAAGATAAATGTTTTCTTCAATGGTGCAAAATCAAAATGGCAATTGTTTTTCACACATATCTACGGAACAACATTTGCTTTGCAAACAATATACTTGATAAGCAGCAAGGATATCCTTTGTTGCCACATATCGAACTCGTTCCTTTCTGATTTCGCCAGTGTGCACATCAAAAGCAAACTGCTAATTGAAATTTCAGTTGCCGTCTTTTATAGTGGAAAGAAACCAGGTCATTCCTGCATTGCTATTTGGTAGCCAGTAGCCAGTAGCCACTGCAGTGACAGAGCATCATCCTGTCCCACAACCTTCCATCGACACATGGTCCTGTGTAGAAACTCTTCCAGATGTCTTTGATCATTGTCGAGTGGGAATAAAATATATATAACTGAACACACTAAAACACCTTCAGTAGCCTTTTTCATAAAGTAATACTAGCACAAAATAACAACCTATAACGGAAGACATACATCATGGTAACAAAGTGATTTTCTCATTGAGATATTAGAAAAGGATAAACCCAAAGTTTACCAAAATTCTGGTTGAACGTTAAACATGTTTAAAAGATTTTTAAAAAAATTCTGTTCTGTTAGTGAGTGAATTGGGTTTAATGCTGCTTTGAACAGTATTCCAGTCATATCAAGGAGTGTCAACTTAATGTGTGAGGAAAGCCTGAAGTGATGCAGGTCTTAGACATTAACCACTTTAGCGAAACCCACGAGCACGAGTATGGTGCTGACAAACCTAGAAACATAATCAGGGTGAACTGGGATTCAAACCCTCCGTCATAGGTTTCTGGCACGCCCAGGGGGAGTAACTCTGCACAACAAATTGCGGCACCTTAAATGACTGAGCAACCATGACCCACTTTTCCCTAAATCAACAGCTTGCCAATTTCACTGCACTCATGATGGAATGATTCATTAAACTTTGCTAACAATGCAACATAACAAATATGTAACTTGCTATGGAAAAAAAAAGGTGCAATCCAATATCAACATGATCAAATAATAAAATGGAAAGAGTAAATGAAATTGAAAGAACAAAGGCAAAAGAATCAGAGATAAGGCAGGAACAGTAAATGACAGTTAAAAAGAAATCTAGCACATTAATCAATCATCATCAATCATTGTCAAGACTAAATCATTTTAGTTGTGAACCTCTCTACAACATATACACTGGGTTCAACATGGTTAATACAGTCATGTCTGTGAGACAAGAAAAAGAAATAATTATTTGATTGGTGAAATGGTTGAGGATACTGATAAGAAATTGGATTGAAGATGTTCATGTTGAGTATTCATTATCACTCACAAAACAAGGACATTGGCAAACCTTCTGTACCCAAAGCATCAGGCAATACTGTCAGATAACAGTACTCCGAAGCTTAAGCATTTTAAGCAAAAGTTCTTGAAAAGAAAACAGAATTCAAAGAAACAGAGAATATCTGCAGCCAATGCCATATTGTTTACATCCCAACATCGTCCCTGAAAACAAAGAAACAAAGAGTGAATACACTGGGAAATGTACCTACAGTAAACTACGGTCATAACCAACTCAATAGGACCACTAATTTTAGTTCGTTATAACCGTAGTTTGTTATAAGCATGTATACAGAATATATACAGCATATAGCATACAGCAAATAGACGGGACCAAAAAACATTTCATTATATCCGTCAGTTTGTTATAAGTGTGTTCGTTATTAACATACTTTACTGTAATTTTACAGGGATCTTTCTAGACCTGCTCTGAGGCAGATATTTGGAGCTAAGTCTGGAGCAAATTTTCCCCAAATTGGAATAACAAATTTTCCAATTCCTGTTATATATTAAGAACTAATGTTATGGCTTTGAAGAAATGACTTGTATTTCACTGATACGATTTGAGCACAATAATTACCTTTTCCTCCAAATTGCCTGTTGTGGGCACCTAGTTTGGAATCCTGGATAAATCTCTGTATTACCGATTGTGACAAACAAACTGAGCGACATAGTGAGTGAGTTTGATTTTACGCCGCTTTTAGCAATATTCCAGAAATATCACGGGAGGGGACACTAGAAATGGGCTTCACACATTGTACCAATGTCAAGAATCGAACTCGGGTCGAACGCTTTAACCACTAAGCTACCCGACTGCCCCTGAGCGACATAGAAAACAGAAAGTATAACATAATGAAGGCACTTGATGCATGCTTCAGTGCTTTTACATTGGGATCTCTAGTCGAAATGAAAAGTCACATTTTCAAGAGGCACACACTGACTGTTAACATTTCCAAAGCATTAAGATTTTGATGACGGTGATCACAAATAGGTGGAGACAATGAAGTGTTGTCCAGATAAGACAATATGCCTATTGGTTAACATGGACAGTGAAAGGGTTAATACTGAAACTAGGACACCTAGTAACCATGGTAACCTACTCTGTCATCATTGTGTCATCAGTCAAGTCCATGCTGACGTCGGTGCCAATACCAGAGTCTCCGTAGGGCACAGAGGCACTGAAACAACAATACACATGCATCACAACTACCCTCAAGCTTAAATCACCAGTGAATGTTCTTTAACACTGCTCTTATATATAACATCAGTATTTAAATATCCCAGCTATATGACAGGGTCTGGACCAGACTAACCAGTGACTGACATCATGAGCAACAATTCATGCCAGTTTCCATCGGCGACATCAACAAGTCTAACCACCCAATCCACTCTTGTGGGCTATAAAAAGTCTGGAATACTGGAGACCAATTCTTCCCTCAAACCTACAGGGTTAGGTCTCGATTATTTCAAAAGGGAGTCGTCATGTTTTTTTTGTATAGGCATGAAACTTAATTATAGGGGTGACAAAAAAAAAATATCACCTATTTCCTAAAATCATTTCACATAGGTGTTATGCCCAAACCATTACTTTTCTTCAAGACAATAGTATCTTCATAGACACTCAAATTAAAGGGGGGACAACTAGTAGTGTAAATTATCTCCCTTATATCATAAATTCCAATACCAAATCTCAATTTGTACATCCTTCTATGATCTAGTCAATCAGCATTCAAAAGCGGTAGAAACTTAGGGTTTTAGTCCACTAGTCCTAATGATGATAACATATAGCCAAACCCTAAAACATGGCAAATTTCTACTTGTCCTTATGATACTTTAACTATTGGGCAGTTTGGCAAGGACTACAGGACCAGTGCCAATTTCTAAAGCTGTTCAATGTATGGGTTTAATATTCCCTTGAAATGTTCTCCAAAGCCATAAAGTGTATTTTCAAAGACATATTTTAAGATGCTTCGCTAAAAGATCAGAGGCACCACCTGCACTTTATTCTGCGATAAGGTACACGTTTTGAGTTAAGTCATCATGGGGTAACGTCTTGATACTGTTCAAATTACGTCACCGTGATCTATCGTTTCCTTGGTACCATCGATCTTTCATTATTGTCATCCACATCAGCTATCGACAACACAGTGTACGGTAGAAGGTGTAAAACATTGTATTTTCACGTAAAAAAGATGTTCACCTGGTAGCTCTACATGTGAAAAACACAATCCTCTTCATCTTTCTGTTGTAGAAGAAGTAATTGAAAGACCATATACAGCCCTCTTCTCCATATGGATCGGACGCAAGGTCTGGGTTGTAGCTGAACGGGGATGAAAGTGAGGTATTAGCATGATAAGTCTTGTACAATCATCAGTACTTCACGTTTGAATACACCAACGTGAATACCTTCAGCCAACAACAGAGTGACATGTTTCTAGTCAAGGAATGAAATGGGTCAGTGTATTTAGCCCATGGGAGTGAGTTTGGTTTTACGGCGCTTTTAGCAATATTCCAGCAATTCCGAGACGAAGGACACCAGAAAATGGACTTCACACATTGTACCCATGTCAGGATTCGAACCCAGGTCTTCCGCGTGACGACTGAACGCACCCGACTGCCCCAGGTATTAGGGGAATGTAGTATATACACAGATATAATTTCCGATGACGTCAACTATGGTTCCAAAAGTGTCATAAAGGTCTTCCTCAAATTATCTGTGAGTAAAATTTGAGTTATATATACAAAAGCATTAAAAAATGCATTCACAAAAACACTGTCTCATTCCTTGCAAAAGAACTTCCAGCTATGATTATGGTTAATAAGTAACACGCCATACTTTTGCAGTTTTTTGTCATCTATATGTATCACTCAGAGGCTGGGTTACCTGTACACATCACAGTCCTGCAGGTTGATTTCTTCCTCAATAGCTGCCCATAAGTGAGGTTTCAGAGCACCAAATGTGTCTCCCGCAGAGGCAAACAGCTGACTGTCGATACCATTCACCACAAACTGTAACAACAAATGAAGATGCAACACCACATCTAGCAGGGACAGACATAGTTTTACAAGTGTGTCAGAGGTAATTCATATAGATGTTTAGCTGCACCTTCAAAATTAAAGTGTGCCAACTTAACAGTTGGTTTAATGGACACTTCACTGAGGAAGCTAATATTTTTAGACTAGTATTTCTTTTTCAGTCATTGTTGGTAGGCATATTTAGATAATTATGTGTACAATTATAGGCAACAAAATGCAATGTTGTGGATACTACAATATTCAAAGGAGAGAGAGGGAGAGGGAGAGGGTTGGTTGGTTGGTTGGTTGGTTTGTTGTTTAACGCCGCACTCAGCAATATTCCAGCTATATGATGGCGGTCTGTAAATAATCGAGTCTGGACCAGACAATCCAGTGATTATTATCATGAGCATCGACCCACGCAATTGGTATCAATGACATGCATCAACCAAGTCAGCAAGCCTGACCACCCGATCCCGTTAGTCGCCTTTTACGACAAGCATAGTCACCTTTTACGGCAAACAGAGAGAGAGAGAGAGAGCACTGTACCTGTGGACTCGGCTCTCTACTGAACTCATCACTCTTGGCATTACTGAAGTCATAGTCTGGGTTGAAGGAAGCATTCAGCGTGGAGATGAGGTAAAATAGGGTCTTCGTGGATATCGTATCACAGAGATAGCTCTCACCCTCGTAGCTGTGGCTGTACTGTCTGAAATATACAAGTCACTGTATTCACTGTACTCGTAGTGGAGACTGAACAGCCACTAGGGAAAGAGACCTGGGAGGTTTCAAATATTAACATACTAGCAATGTTCAAAACTAGCATGTAAAACACTTAAAGTTTAAAGAGAGTCTAACTTTCAAATACTACACTAACAGTATATTCCCGAGGCAAAAAAACCCTGCAAAAGTCCAGTTTCCACCCTTGCTGAACTAGGCTGGAATTTCATAGTTACATTTTGACTGGACATGCTGGACTAATGAGTCGATGTATAGTCCAATCAAAATCCTGCAACAAACTAGACATCCAGTTTGTAAACAACATGGATTTCAACGTGCAGATTTCTGTCGAATGCACGATTTGCATAGCATGGGTACTGTCAACTGGGCATCAACAGATATTTTCTAAATCTTTTCATGTTTTTAATCAAGGTGCTCAAATGATTTGATGCAACTTGCGAGGTAAAACCCATTTTATTACAACATAGATCTTGATTATCGATCAGATCGTCTTGACTGACCATCTTGTTTAAAGCAAATGCAAGTGATATTTGGTGGAATCTGATTGGTAAGTAGGAGGGACACAAGTCGTAACAGCCACTGGTGGCACTACGATTGAGCCACGAAATTCCAGCGTAGTTCTGCAAGAGTGGAAACTGTATGTTTGTAGTCAGTTAACACCCTTGCCTCGGGAAGCTGCACTAACAGTAGAAAATCACGAGGACCAGGACCCCTTCATTTTCAATACCTGTATCAAAATGACTTTACAATTGTGTGTAATGGTATGGACTGTGTCTAATGTTTTGAGCAAGTTGATGAAAAAAGGAATCACAGAAAATAATCTTTTAAACAAAGCATATCAAAACAGAGATTATTCAACTTTATTTTCACGCATCAGAGCTATAGATAAGCAGCGTATTTGCGTAAAATTTTCAAAACCCAAATGCTTTCAATTAACTTTTGTACAGAAATACATGCATTAAATGAAAAACTCAAATAGTATAAAAACAGCTTGCGTAAATACCCAATGAAGCTTTTACATCATGCGTACAAAGGGGCTAATTTCCGAAACACAATTACAAGCTAGTTCCCTTTCCAAATCAAGCATATATATTTAGAACAGTTATATGCATCTAATTCATTATTTCATTTTTTTTTTAAATCTTAAAATGTTCACTAAATTTGGGAAAATCCCAATAGAGTGATGAATAGGTGAGTGAAAAAATATTGGTTATCAAATGAAAAATATAATAACCCATTTAAAATAGAAACCCTAGAGTAAAAACTCAATTGCTCAAAAAGTCATCTGGAGCTCTGACACATGATAGATTATAATGTCCAAGAGACCTTTGGGAACTTTTTGCTCAGTCAAATTTCACATTAAATTCTGCTACACGAAGTACACATCCCAATGTGAGCTGGACATGGCTGACCATACGAGGTATCAGCTTGACCCAGAGCTTATGTCCAGCAACACCTGCCTGTGCCTCAGGCAAACAAGATAATCCTGTGCCTGAAGCAACCAATGTTTTTTGAGGCCCATAACCTCTCGACCCAAGCTGCAGGATATGTTATAAAGGTTAGATAAATTCAAAACAATTTGAATTGAGAAATTTGTAAAAAAAGTTGTAAATGTAATTTTTAATATATCAGTAATGATTATCACTCATGGCTCGATAAAGCTATGTAAAACATGACATGCAAGTTACTGCAACCTAATATTGAGTGGGAGTGAGTTAAGATTTTTGGTCACATCAGCAATAATGAAAAGTGCAACCTAATATTATGTCTTGTAAAATATATGCCACGCCTCTTGTGCAACTTTCAGAGAGAATATGTAAATATTGTATTTTACCAAATGATGTACAGGCTAATATGATTGAAAATAAATTTTATTTTTTAATTCAACGTTACTTTTATGATGATTTGCGTTTCAATCTTTTTAATGCAGCATATAAAATAATCCTTGGTCCTCGGTTTTATAACATTAATGACGAAGATAAATTTGTATATACAATGAACGAAAGTAAAATACAATGCCTTTTAGCCTTTTTTAAATGTTTCGAAGAAGGCAAATCTTGTAATCTTTATTTTATACAACCAAGATTTTTTTCATTTTTTAAATTTTTATTTATTTATTTATTTATTTTTATTGTATAATTTGATTATAGTATCTCAGATGCCAATTTGTGGCTCAACACATTTATATGTATATATCATGTATATGTTACATGTTCAAGTGTGTGTGACACTTAAATAAACAACTTACAACTACTACAAAACAAATTTCAAATCTGTGTCTGACTATTAGTGACTAACCCTGACTTTTCCACACAACGACTATCTCTGAACCCTCAATACATGTAAGCTTTATGTATCATACTGCATCATTAATCCTTGTGTTGTATTATTTGGCACGCTTTTTTGGGATTTTCATCAAACTGTGGGTACTTCAAGATGTCTGGGGCAACTACATTTTCATGACAACATGCACCTGGTGCAAATCAAATCAAGTTCCTTAATTTGAACCCTGTAAGGTTGCAAACAAACAAGAATTATAAGATAAGTGCCCTTGTTCAAACCATATGTTGTTAAAAATTTATTATTTATTCAAAGATCCGTTGATATTATACCTAGGAGAAGGCCCCGTGAAATGTGTCACTTGTGCCAAATCATTTGGATGTTTCGCAGTAAAACATGTTTAAATTTATACCATGTGCAGCAGAAAACCTCACAACTGCTCAGTTTTCAAGAAACTCCTTACTTTCTAACACCGAGTACTACATGTGTATACCATAACTATTTATTATTTCCATGTCAGCTAAGTCTGCGTTTTTTAGCCTAAAGCACAAGTCTAGTCAAATTTCTCTCTGGCTTATAACATGATTTATAAGTTGACTAATTATACCTCATAAGTTAACAAAAAAATTAAATAATTCTATCAGATGAGTCCAGTGTAATTGCCAGAATGTTTATTGTCATCTCGCTCAACTAAGTAAACAAACATGGCCATAAGCAGGATGGTATTGATAGACAGGAAAGATGACTTTCTAAGTTTTTATCATTCCCTAACAATTCTATTTTACCATGTTCACTTTTAAATTAAATTAAAATAAGTTGCGCATAGACCATGATTGATCTAGTCAATTGCTCCCGTGAAGAGATAGGTTTTGAGTGTCTTTTAAAGTTTGTCGGATTTTCTGTTTCTCAGATTTTCTGTAGGAGATTGTTCCACAGCAAAGGGTTAGCATGTTGAAATGACCTATTGCCATATGTTTTGGTACGTGACTTTGGCACCACTAGCAGCAAGCAGATGTTGATCTTTTGATCGGAGAGAATGTGCAGGCTTGTATAGTACTATCGGTTCCTATAAGTATGCAGGAGCCAAACCATGCATTGCCTTGAAAACCAGAGTGAGTAGTTTAAATTGATATTCCAGCTCTTTGACAGTGGTTCTCTAAATAATCAAGTTATTGATATAAATGCTGTACCTGCTGAGATGAATAAAGAGGGAAAATAAAAAAAATAAAAAAAATAAATAAAAAAAAGTTATTGATTTTGTGAGCAACGATGCATGCTGTCGCGTCAGAGTATGTTGACATGCTACCGAAAAGGCACCATTTGGCTGCCTCTTATGACAGCATAGGTTGCTAGAAGCACTTGTAACTCTGCTGATGGTATTGGTACCTGACAGGGCTGTGTGACAGAGTGCTCTGTGGCGGTGACAAGGCCTGGAGGCCACCTGTAGCATTGCCTCCTTCATTTGCCTCACTTGACAAGAGCTTGAACAAACGTTTGTCATTCCCTGCCATCTTACAGGAGTAGCTCTCAATCCTGTAAAAAAGAGGTATACAATATTTACCATTGTTGGTTGTTTGGTTTGTTGTTTAACGCCGCACTCAGCAATATTCCAGCTATATGATGGCGGTCTGTAAATAACCGAGTCTGGACCAGACAATCCAGTGATTGATATCATGAGCATCGATCCACGCAATTGGGATTGATGACATGCATCAACCAAGTCAGCGAGCCTGACCACCCGATCCCGTTAGTCGCCTTTAACGACAAGCATAGTCACCTTTTACGACAAGCATGGGTTGCTGAAGACCTATTCTACCCCGGAATCTTCACGGGTCTTACCATTGTTCACCCAAAAGGCTTGTCATACACACATCACGCGCACACTGGCACACAAGATATTATCAAGAGTATCTACCAATTGTCTTCTCACATTATGTACATGATTAGATTTGTTTTCTTCCTAATTAATCATGTTAATGACACACTCAGCAATATTACAGCTAAATGACAGCAGCCTGTAAATAATCAAGTCTGTAGCAGACAATCCAGTGACTGAAAATTATTGTGAGCAACGTTCCATGCTGTTGGGTACATTGCCAAGTAACCAACCAAGTCATCGAGTCTGACCACCTGGTCCCACTAGCACAAAGGGATCTCAACACTAAGACTATCATAAGCCTATGTTAAAGTATAGGAGTTACAATCACCTTAGCACTGATATCACTTTGTGCAAGTGGGCCCTGGGCCCCATTCGACAAAGCAATCGTAGTGCTAAGATGATCTTTACTCCCATACCTTAGGCTTATGATAGTGTTAGCACTGAGATCCCTTTGTGCAAGTGGGCCCTGGGCCCAATTCAACAAAGCAATCGTACTGCTAAGATGATCTTAACTCCCATATCTTAGGCTTAAATAGGCTTACGATAGTCTTAGTGCTATGATCACTTTGTGGAATGGGTCCCTGGACAATTTTATCGCCTCTTACGACTAGCATAGGCTGCTAGGTACCTATTTTAAACCAGAATCACCACAGGGATATTTGTTTAATGTTCAATCTGAAATCGACCTGTGAAGATCCAAGTTAGAAAAGGTCTTGAGCAACCCATGCATGTTGTAAAAGGCGGCTATGCTCATCATAAAGAGGCGACCAATGGGATCGGGTGGTCAGGCTCCCTGATTTGGTTGATGCATGTCATTGTATCCCAATTGCATAGATCGATGCTCATGATGGCAATCACTGGATGGTGTGGTCCAGATCTTATTATTAACCATTTGTTATTGTTAACAGACCGCCGTCATGTCTCTAGAACATTACTGAGTGCAGCATTAACAACAAATAAACAATCAACAAAATCAGTTTGAAACAATATGATCATGATATAGGGGCATACCTTTAGCATTGTTTAGAATACAGTGCCACAAAACTTTTCACACAATACCCCATGACGTAATTTGTTGCATTTTGTTTTCAGATACACAGTAAAACAATGCCCTGTGACCATGGTGACATCATAGGTCATTGAGTGAGCATAAGCTCCTCTCAGTGATCTATCATCTCTAAATGTAGTGTCACTGAACATGCTGAATAAGTACAGCTATGTTGGGGGGTTTTCAATATTTCCTTATGACATATAGCCTGCAGCATATGAATGCATCTTAATTTTGAAAATATATTCTTTTCCTGTTTCAACTTAATTCATGTAGACAAATGTATTAGAAATAGGAACTAATATTGGCACTAGTCTTATAGTCCTTGCTAAACTCCTTAACAGTTAAGGTATCATAAGGACTAGTAGAAATTTGCCCTTTGTAAGGGTTTTGCTATGTGTTATCATCACAAGGACTGTTAGTTTCTACCACTGATATGCATATTTTACTTTTGTTGATTTGGTACTTTTCATAATTCTGCACAAGAACGCAGTTAAATCAATATTTATTTACTGACAATGCACACATCAAAAATGTTGCCGGTCCAAACACTATCTATCAACTGTAATTTTTAATGACAAGGAGATGAAGCTTTACCATGTTTACCACCTGCATAGGCCCCTGGGGTCTAAAGGGGTTGTGCTCCCTTATCATTAGAGTGTTCCCTCCCACACGTTTCAGGGAAGAAATAACCCAAGGAATTATTAAAAACATCTCATTCAGGTGTACTCGAGATTTTAATGTCTGACGCCTAGAGCCATTTGCAAGAAAGAGGTTCATTCCTCACCACTTCGTACCAGATTACGGAATGGGACAAGTGTGCCAAAGGGCATCCGAACAACTTGTGTGTGTCTGTAGCCTTAAGTCATCAGAAACCCTGCTTACCCGTCCGTAAGTGTCCATCACCTATTGGATCCTTTCTGTTCAGATCCCTAATGTCTTAGGCATGACTAGGTAAATTTGCACTAAGTGTAACAGTGTGGATGTTACTCAGTCAGACTATCGGGTTAACAATGCGAGTTTGCGAGTTTGAGTTATTTTTCAGGCAAGCTATCAAAAAAGTGATAAGTGGATTACCATCATGAGCATCAAACAGAGGAAAGTTCAAATATTGATAACCCATTGTCACTGTTGCAGTGCTGTGTGAGAAATACATTAAAGCTACATCATTGATAAATGAAAGAGAGAAAAACAAAAGTGTCAACAATGTCTGAAAATACATGCTGAATTATGAATTTAACTGGAACAGGAAAATATTGACAGCAAGACCCAACTGAGATTGTGTCAACATCATAACTTGATCAACAGGTAACTCTGATTGACATTTCAATCAGTTTTTCACACAATTATCCAAACATGTAACATCTGTGTATATTAATGTTTAAATACTTCATGTGAGAAGAGATGAGCCATGTTTATTTATAAAGATGACCTTGACCTTACCTTCCATCAATTCTACAATTCTCGAGCTCAATTGCAAGAGCCGAATTGACCGCTTCAAATCTTGAATTTTCTAACAACTTCATGGTTGTCAATTTTAGCACATCCAATCACAAACAGAAATTGTGTTAAAGTATTTGTCGAAATTTACCAATAAGAACTAGTCCTTTCACTTCCTTCGGTCGATTGTGAAATCCCAAAGGACAATAACAAACACAAATCTCTTCCTGTTTAACAACACAAGTGACAGGGCGTAAGGTGTAATAAGTTCGTTATACTAAAACACGGCGGTAGTGTAGAAAGTTTGTGTTTGCTTCTGTCAAGGACAACTTGTTCTGTTGATGAATCTTCGACGAATTTCATGTCCTTTTCTTCAAGTGTATAGTCAACAGCCATGGGAAATCAGCTGTCAAACCCCGATGTGAAAACCTCCGTTTCGCTCCCAATAATGCTTTTGTCGACAATGTTGAAGGACTCCGAGAAGGTTGATTGCCCTGACAGTCCTGTAGACTGTACAATTAACACAGGTTATCCGTCAATCAACACTGAATTCGTCTTGTTCTGCAAAATAAACAATCTAGTTTCTAAATATACTTCTTCGAAGTCGTTTTGGATTTAGATCATATCCCACAATGCCCTACGATAAAATATTTGCGCATGCGCATAACGCCTAAATTTGTTTTTGTTTTGGGAATGACGATAAAGCGAACGGTGATTCACATATGTAACTTATTCCATATCACAAGTAATCATAATATATCGAACATTTTGAACAATACATTATATTTGCATAAACATAAGAAAATAACACATATTTTATGGAATATAACATGATACCTGATACCGAAACACATTTTGTTGCTCTTAGCCCCTTTTTTTTATGTTACTCGGTATGGGCGGGATTTAAAAAAAAGGAGGGAGGAGGGTCCATTTGGGCCATTTATAACTTCGGGGGTAGGGGCGGGGGTCCACCCAACAAATCAGCCACTGTTCGGGACCATGTTGCACAATTTTAGAGCTATAAATGTGTGTTTACATGTCCCTATTGTTGAAGGGGGAAATGTGTCACCTCCGGAAAATCATTGATATATGCTTTAAAAGAAGAAAACTATTTATTTTTAAATTAAAGCGGAATAATTTAGCTGTTATAAAAATGACATCCTTCCAACAGTCCTACTCCTATTGTTTTGACATGAGTTTATCACACGAGTGCTAAAATATGTCCTAATTAGCAAGTGTTGTAACAGCTATCAACACCAAGTACCTAATGAGCTAATTGTTAATAGGGGTGTCACCGACATTTACAGCAGGGTAATTAAAGTCATTCAAGCGTGACACTGACACGGTGCACCTGCCTTGTGTCTTAACTGGAAGAGACTGAACTGAACTTTATTTTACACTCAGGACGCTATCAGCGGCATAAGATCTTAAGAGGAACAATATCAATGCAATATCACACACACGTGCATGTAAATATGGGTTAAATACCAAACTATGCAAAGCAGTGAGTGAGTTCACAATATACGTGCAAATAAATAGGGAGAAAGTTACTTTAAAAGTTAAACACTGACATGATGATTTGACAAAATTTGGACATTTATATATATTTATTGGGTCTAATGTAAACATGTGTAAAAAAAATGTTCTTTCGGGTTTTTTAAGATAGACAAATAATGGAAGTCACCACCTTTGTATGTCAGATAGTTTGGAAAGTGGACAAATGTTTAATTTAATTTTCACAATGTATTGGAATCTTCTGTGAAGAAAATTGTGTGAATAATTATTACTGAAATGTAGGGAGTCTATAGAAATAAATATTTTCTATTCAGACTTACCCAACAGAGTAAAAACAACAACGCTATATGCTTACAGAATTTATTTTTTTTACACTTTCATGTACAGTGTATAAAATCATGATAGCATAGGTAAAACTAGCAAAGTCCAGCCTCATTAAGCTTACGAGACACAAATGTACACAAAACATCAAGTATTATTAAAATAATATATTAACATATATACTCATAAAATTATTGAACTAAAGTATACGTAGTTAAACATAGTTAAAAAGTAACTTACGAGAATAATGAAGACTTTTTTTATTCACAATAAAACCCATTGTCAAACTTACGAAGACTTACGGACTACCTTTTCCGAGTGAATGAACTTTTAAAATCCCAATAGTCAATATCAATGTCCTTCTTCTTCTTGTGCGACGCTGGCAATTGTTTCGTCATTACCTCAGCTGCATATAATTATCAATCGGGATATGCGTGTTTTTAAGAGTAATTTTACTGACTGAATCAGGGAATAAAAATGGGTCTTACATAGACTCCCTAGTCAAAAGTCAATACTCATAAATCATATTATTGTATTTTGTATAAAAATATTATTGGTAGCGCATTGTAACATATTCGAGCCACGTACAACGGTGTACACCTACAGAGACTGTAAAAGAACGAAATTCTATATTGACTCAAATGTCAGACTACATATTTCCAAAATAGTAATTGATTTACTTTTTTTTGTCAAAAACATTCATTCATGTTAAACCAGAGTGGATAAATTGAAATAAATACTTGATCATTAGTAAGAACTATATGATGAATTACTGATATCTGAAAATACAGGTAAAGAGTGTGGGAGTCGTGCTGAATGTACGAAAAGAGTGCATTTTGGGGCGGTCAGATTGTAGTATATTTGGCCGCCGCCCCCTACCCCAATTTTATGTAACATTTTTTCATGACCCTCCCCTTCCCTATAATGAATTACCAGCCCTAAATAATGTTCAAATATATTATTTTTTATGTGAAGAAATAGAACTGTAATTTTTTCGTACCCCCATCTCACCCAACCCCTCTAAAAAAATATCAACAGGACTAGCAATGATACGCTGTGACGTCACTATTGTCATTAAACATTACGCCGAGAATGATGCGTGTTTTACGCCGACAACAGTCTTGTACAACGCACGTATGACTTCAAAAATGTTATAGAGCGCATGAAACAATATTACGCACTTTGAATTATTATGATATCCGCATGGATAATATATATTTAAAAATTATCGTTTTTCACAATTTCATTTACAACATACCGTTTATAAATGATTACACGAATTAAATAATTTTGATTTTTGTTTCTTTGCGGTTTTCAACATCTCATCAGCAATCAACAGCCTTCCCTATCTATAGCTGAAATATTGCTGAGTGCGGCGTTAAACAAACCAATCCAAGGGCAGATAACTCTGATCGCCTTCATGACCTTTATAGCCAAACAAACCCGGAAGCTATCCCAAACTGCATGTCAACGAGATATTACAAGCTTTCTATTTTCAGTTCGCAATGTCTAACGAAGTTTCTAGGAAGAGTCAGCTGTAACCTAACGTCTCACACGAGTAGGGGTTATATTTGAACCTATTTCTTGTATGTCAGGAGGCAATAGTAAAGATTAGTGTCACCATTAGAAGTTAAAAAGTTACAAGACGTTCAGAGCCCTGCAATGGTATGACCGTGGACGTGAGTCATACCCGCCCAACCACCAGTATCTGTAAGTTTCGGGTTTTCCCAATAACCAGTCTTAACCTGTAAAAAGTCATATTGGTGAGAATAGTTGACACGAGTGACTTGCCAAGTTGGGCAGCCATAGGTGAAACAGATTTATGATAAAGATTTGTAATATTAGTATTGTTGGTCTTATATTCAGTAGTTGTTTAAATCTATACAGATCTATATATATCACACAAGGACACCTTTATTACTTTCACTTCCATATTATCAGTATTGTAATAATCAGTTTGATTTTGCTGGTCTAATAGCAGTAAAGACGTCGACTTGTTCATGATCTGAAGAACTTTTGATTGGACATTCTTCTATATCATTACCAAATTTTGAAACAATCTTCAGGATATTTGCAATGACAATGCATTGTCAATCATCTGAGAAAATGAACACATCTTAAGCTGAGTAAGTGAAATTTTAATTACCTCTGAATCTATTCAGCTGCTTAAGCAGAGAACCTGTTAAGATCCGGGTTAGAATTGTTCTTCAGCAACCCATGCTTGTCGTAAAAGGCGCCTATGCTTGTCGTAAGAGACAACTAATGGGATCGGGTGGCCAGGCTTGCAGACTTGGTCATGATGTCAATTTGACATTTTAGACATGTTGACATGGTTAAGGAGGGATTATGCTCAATGCTTTGGTGCCCATTTCCTGTCTAGATCTGTAGATTTTGTCAGAGTAGTGTCCCTTAGGTGTACCAGAAACCTATAATACGATACTCATCTGATACGATACCTCTCTGCGTGACGATCTGACAACACCTCCATAGGAAGGCGCTTCAAGTGACCCTTCTAGTAAGCCAATCAGTGTCTAGTCTTCTACATTATTTGTACAAGCGAGCAATAGTTTCAGAGCTGCATATTTGATTTCGGTGTCTTAAAGCTAACATAGGCGGGCAGTTCTGAATGTAAATAACAAAGACTGCATTATTTAATTGTTGTGATAATTTATGGACCCAGTCATTTCTGAGTGCCATGGCTTTTACACTGAAAGTGAGTACCAATGAAGGCATATTTGTGTGCTGCTTTATCAAGATCAAAAGCTTGAATCAAGGTCACTAAGTGTAAAGAAATTAAGCAGAATCATTTTAAAAGATGACATCTGAGCTCTCAAGAACCCACACATTTAGATTGGACAGACGGTCAAAGTTCACCTTACATAACGTTTGTGTCAAGGGTTTGTCAGATCATCACAAATTGAGGAAATGTATCAGAATAAAAGAGCAGAGTTTATGAAGTCTTTGAAAGGCATTTAGAAGTGATACACATCAGGAAGAGAATTTATGGATGTCAACTTCTTTATTATAAGGAACACAACGTTTCGGAGTATATGCTTACTCCTTCATCAGGTGAATGGGTTAACTCACTCGCCAGATGAAGGAGTAAGCATATACTCTGTAACATTGTGTTCCTCATACTAAAGAAGTTGACATCCATAGATTCTGTTCCTCAGATTTAATGAGATTTCTTCTTTCCATTTGAAATGTGGTGTACTGGCATTATCTTTCTTTTTCCAAAACTATATCTGTGAATGGTGTATACATGTACTCAACTCGCCTGTCGAGACGCATCGCAATACTCAAGTCCCGGAACAATACAGATCGTGATCTACCTAATTTGAAACATTTTTTTTACGTAAAATTCTACATGTTCCCTGTAGTCTGACTAACAAGATTGTTGTAGTCCGTTTCTACATGTAAACTCACATAGTGACAGTGTTCGAAATACCTGCCTGCCCGACCATCCGAGACGGGTTGATTTCAACTCGGGCTGCTAGATTTTCAAATCCCCCTGCCCGACCGTCGGGTTATATTTCATATGTGAAAATATTCTAAATATTTCCCGATGATAAGCATTAATTCACATGTAAAGATGAATGATAAAATGTAACCAAAAAGAAACCCCGTTAGCTTATCCTGAGAAACATATGATTATAGTGGGCAGGAAGGTTTTGGTCAGGGCTGGCAAGTATTTCAGCTAGCCAGTCCTGTGGTCTGGCTGAAATTTTTGGGAGTTTCATACCCTGATAGTGAGTACATTATTATTGAATTAGATTTACAGTGATCCCGCTGGCTTTTGATACTGCCACTCCCGGTAGACTGGCAACACTAAAAATTACCAGTTCCCTCCTAAATTTTGTCAGTCCCAACTTTCAACAGTTAAAAAAAACGTATAAAAATTACCTGGTTTGAATTAATTCAACATGACATTATCTCTGAAGTAACTTAGTTAGATCTACACATCATTCACACAAAGTTTAGTCACAATTTTCTCTTTTATTTTTATATTTCAAGACTATGTTGCTACAAATATATATTTAACCTCAAACCAAAGCAAAATGTTATTTCCTTGCACTAAAAATAGACAAGGGGAAACCCTGAAGGTAACAGACAAGCTGACATCATTCGAAAAATATACTTATATGAATATTGCCGATGTTTTGTTCAACAACAATGATTTATAAGGTACTCTATTTGCCGGTCCACAGGGACTGGCAGTCACATGAATACCGGTCCAAGCCTAATTTTACTGGTAAAAAACTGGTATTTACCCGTAAACGGGAACACTGGATTTAGTATTTGTTTAGTGATCAGCGTTTAAGTAACACTTGCCTGTGCAATTATCTTGCCTGTGTCAGACATTTACCTTCACTTACAAAAGTGGCGGTCGAGGGGATCCATAATAATGAATTTAAGGGTCTTTGCAGGCAATATGTGGTGTAGTGTATGTACTTTTAAGTACCGTATTCGACGTAATAAGCGCCCTGCTCTAATAAGCGGCCAAGGCGAGATTTGGTAATATATTGGCTAGTGAACAATCCCAAATAGCACCCCTTCCGATTGAACAATGTACACAAGACTTATTTATCCGTGTATAATACACAGTCGTGTGTAATATGCACCCTTAATTATGGGCAATTAAATTCTGGACTTTGTATCATTTCAGGCTGCATAAACCACGAAATTTGCGATCTTTCAACTCTGTTTTTATTTTACCAAAATTTTATTCTAATAAGAGGCTCCTGTTTCAAATTTTGAGCGCGCCCAGGGTGCTTATTACGTTGAATACGATAATTACTTGAGAACCTGGAAGGGATCAATGGTCATGTGGACAGTGGTCGTAATTGATGGATGAAATAGTGAGTGAGTGAGTTGGGTTTAACGCCGCTTTTAACAGTATTCCAGTTATATCACGGCGTGCCAGCTTAATGTGGGAGGAAAGCCCGAAATGATGCAGGTCTGAGACGTTTATCACTTCGGTGAAACCCACGAGCACGGGTATGGTGCTGACAAACCTAGAAACATAATTATGGCGAACCGGGATTCGAACCCACAATCATAGGTTTCTGGCGTGCCCAAGGGACGCAACTCTGCACAGCGAGTCGCAGCGCCTTAGATGACTGGGCCACCCATGCCCCCGATGGATGAAATAAGAGACAGCCTCAATATACTGATATACTGTAGGTACAATGAATATCAGAGCTCCACAAAACATTTTGAGCAATTGAGTTTTTACTCTAGGGTTTCTATTTTAATTGGGTTATTACATCTTAATTGGGTAACCAATATGTTTTCACTCATCTATTCATCACTCTATTGGATATTTCCCCAAATTAGTGAACATTTTAAAATTTAAAAAAAATGAAATAATGTCAGAGTCACAGTAAGGAGTTTTGGAATTTTTAGCACAAGACAAATATGCTGAATATCTTTGGGATAAGTATTGTGTCCACTCATTAAATACAACTGATTATCATTTGGTAGATATTCACTTTGCTTCTTCGTAGGGAGAGACGCGTGAAGATCCGGGGTAGAATAGGTCTTCAGCAACCCATACTTGCTGTAAAAGATGACTATGCTTGTCGTAAGAGGTGACTAACGGGATCGGGTGGTCAGTATTGCTGACACGGTTGATGCATGTCATCGTATCCCAATTGCGGGGATCGATGCTCATGATGTCAGTCACTGGATTATCTGGTCAAGACTCGGTTATTTACAGACAGCCGTCATGTCTGTCAGATGGATATGACAAAGATATGACTACAGCAACCTCTGTCTCTATGTGTTCTGAGACTGCCTGTACCCTGTATCTGTTGGGGCATGGCTTGATTTAACTATATAAAACATGCACCAGTGCAACCTGTTATTGAAAAATGAGCAGACACACAGCACGGACAGACAGACAGACAGACAGACAGATTGGGGAGAACTTCCCACTTGTAGTTTTACTGATTGAAATTGGTTGCCAAGCAGTTATATATGTAAAACCTAACCAGTAAAAAACCTAATGTTTATATATAAATTTAGTTTCTTTTATGATTACAGTAAACTACGGTTATAGCGAACACGCTTATAACGAACTGACGGATATAACAAACTTACTGTTTTGTCCCTAAATCTTGCTGCATTTATGCTGTATATATGCTTATAACGAACTACGTTTATAATGAACTAAAATTAGTGGTCCCTCTGGGTTCGTTATAACCGTAGTTAACTGTATTTTCATTATAAGTATACATAGTAACAACATAATAAATAGAGGTGTGGGTATTACCTGTATACAAGTATACCACAATTTGAAAAACTTATGAATTTGTATCACAATACGGTTAGAAAATACCAGTATATTGCATTTTTTAGAAGTCATGCATATTTTCATCTTGTTTGCTAAGTTATTTTACATAAGTGACAAGTCGAATTGAAATTACGAAACTCAGATATTAGCAACTGATTCCTGTGATCGAAAAAGCAAAACTACCGGTAATCATGACCAGTCCCTGTATATTATATGTCTATTTCTTATGGGTTGTGACTATAGCAACATCCCGAAAGTTGGTGGACGACAAGGAAGTTGTCAAAAATGGGTGGGAGAAGTCCTATGTATGGACAAGTCATCTGGGTAATTTTTATTCAAGTTTATGACAAATTACAGATTAAAGAACACATGCAATATAGTGTGGTACGATTCCCAATACATGAATCATTATAGC